CAGGCGGATCTCTGTGAGTTCAAGGCCAGCCTGGTCTACATAGTGAGTTCCAGGACAGCTGGGGCTACAGGGAGACCCTGTCTCAAAAAGACAAAAAAAAAGAAAAAAAGTGTATGAGTCTTTTGCCTGTATGTTTAAGTATACCATGTGCATGCACTACCCAAAGTGGTCAGAAGAGGGTGTTGGAGCCTCCATTGGGGAATTGTGTCCGTTGGACTAGCCTATGGCCATATCTGTGGGGCATTTTCTTGACTGTTGAGTGATGTGGGAGGGAGAGGGGGAGGGGGAGGGCCCAGCCCACTGTGTGCAGTGCCACCCCTGGGCAGGTGGTTTTCTGTTGTATAAGAAAGCAGGTAGAGCACCGGCCAGGGGAGCAAGCCAGTAAGCAGCGTTCTCTTCGGCTTCTGCCTCCAGGCTCCTGCCCTGAGTTCCTACCTTGGGCTCTCCGATGAACTGTGAACCCAGAGATGTGAGCCAAATAAACCCTTTCCTCTCCAAGTTCGTATTGGTCAGAGTGTTTTGTCACAGCAATTGAAAGCAAACAAAAACACTCCCACAGTGTGTCTGTAATTACTCTTCAGAAGAGCATCTTCCACTTAAAAGTGCAGGGCATGGTGGCACACACCTGTAATCTCAGCACTTAGGAGGTAGAAGCAGGAGGATCAGGAGTTTAGGGTCATCTTTGGTTATATATGGAGTTTGAGGTCAGCCTGACCTACACGAGACCCTGACTCAAAAAAACCAAACAACAGAAAGCACTGTGATACTGACAGAGGATGATGGCATGTGGGACCAGCAGGCTATGCGAACATCAGTGATGTCTGCAGTTCGACTTGGTTTCAATATATTTTATAAAATTTAGAATCACATGTGGGGCTGGTGAGATGGCTCAGTGGTTAAGAGCACTTGCTGCTCTTGCAGAAGACATGGTTTGGTTCCCAGCACCCCCAAGACAGCTAACAACAGTCTGTAACTCCAGTTCACAGGGAAATCTAACACCTTCTGACCTCCAGGGCCATTGCACAACATGGGTGTATTTACATATATGCAGGCAATACACTCATACATAAAATAATAAAATATTTAAAAAAACGTATGGAGTTGTGATGTTTTTCTTCTTTAAGAAGGGTCTTCATAGCCGGGCGTCATGGCACACGCCTTTAATCCTGGCACTTGGGAGGCAGAGGCAGGCAGATCTCTGTAAGTTCAAGGCAAGCCTGGTTTACATAGTGAGTTCTAGGACAGCTGGGGCTACAGGGAGACCCTGTCTCAAAAAGACCAAAAAGACCACTGTCTACCTCCATCCAGTGCAGGGATCATAGGCATGCAACATTACAGCTAACAAGCACCACAACCACAAGTGATGCTATTTTGTATCAATGTTGAAGGACATATTGGGTCTCTAACACTTTGCATTGGGAAGCACTTTTCAGAGGCTGTTTGTTCTGTTTGGAGAAGTCAGGCTCAGAGCTCTGTAACAAATTAGTGTGGTGGGGCTAGGATTTGGTGCTATGATACTTGGCTTCATCAGAGGCTGAGATTATTATTTGTATGTGGGGGTGGGTACACACATGCCACAACATTGTGTGTGGTCAGAAGAGAACTTGTAATCCTTTTTCTCCTTCCACCATGTGGGCCCTAGAGCTTGAACTCAGATTATGAGGTTTGGTAGCAAGCAACTTTACCCACTGAACCATCTTGCTAGCCAGGAGTATATATATGTCTTTTGGCCTGGAACTCACTAGTTACCAGGCTGGCTTTGAACTCAGAGAAATCTGCCTGCCTCTGCCTCCCGAGTGCTGGGATTAAAGGCTTGCAGCACCACACCCAGCTCATATATTTTTTAAATTAAAAAGAAAATTAAAAATGTATTTGGGGGCTGGAGAGATGGCTCAGCACTTAAGAGCACTGGCTGGCTGCTCGTGCAGAAGACCTGTGTTCAATTTCCAGCATCCATTGGGTGGCTAAAAACCGTCCATAAAACTCCAGTTCCAGGGGATCCCACGCCCTCTTCTTTCCTCTGCAGACATTGCAGGACATGGGTGCGTTTACACACATGCAGGTAATACACTGGTACACATAAAAGTAAAACACTTTTAAAAAGTGTAATACTTCAGTCTGAGAATTTCACACATGTATTAAATACATGTGTATTTTAAATATATTCACCCACAGAAGTTATTTTGAGACACCAGCAAACAAACTCAAGCTACACTGCTCTTAGCGGACCACTTACTGAGGTTTTTTTCAGTGTTTGTAACTGCTTTCTTCACACTGGCGCCCTGTCCCATGCCCCCTATATATGCTCCCATGCAGGTGTTCCCTTGGGAGCCCAGGTCTACTAACCGCTGTGCTGGGCACCGACGGGTTGCAGGCACTCTGGTGAGTGGTCCTCTGGGTTGTGCCGTCCATGCTCACTCTTCTGAGCTTTTCCTGGGCCCTTTCAACTGACCTGAGGGTTTTTCCACCATCTACGTGCTGTCGCTCTTCCCAGCTACACTTTTGGCCCATACCAGTCTAGGACCTGGCCCTCTGAGATGCAGATTCAGGAAAGGAGCTAATGAACTGACTGAACTCCACACAGCACGTGGGATGTCAGCCACCAGGGCTCCTGCGTGGACTCGGGTCCACTGTGATCCCTCCCCCTCCCCCAGGTCATGAGGCCCAGCTGAGCAGTCATGTGCCCCTGCAGCCCCAAAGCGAGGCTCCCTGGCTCGAACCCCAGCTCTCATGAGGTCAGTTTCCCTGGGGAACCAGGCTAGCCCACAGCGAGTGTGGGGTACACCGGAGCCCAGGTCACCTGACTCCAGCTGTCCCGGCAGGCCTTGCAGCGGGCGAGCGTCGAGGCCCAAGCGGTAGCTTCCGGTCACCCGGCTCACACGTGCACGGCCTGGCCCCGCCCTCCTCCGCGCGGCACGCTCTGATTGGATATAAGCGGAGGGGCGGGGCTGGGCTTCTGGAACGGTCTTCGGGGCGTCGGTCCGTCGGTGCCGAGGCGGTCTTCGGGGAAGCGGGCCGGGCTTTCAGGATGCTGCGCAAGCTCACGGTGGACCAGATCAATGACTGGTTCACCATCGGCAAGACGGTGGCCAACGTGGAGCTGCTGGGCCTGCCGCCCGCCCTGCCTGGGGACGCGGCCCGGGAGGAGGCGCCGGCGGCCCAGGCTGCGGCCCCGGCTGAGGGGCCCAATGTAGCTGTGGCTCCCGCCCGGACAGCCTCAACCTTTGGAAGGTAGGGGTTGGGGTGGGGGTACGTGGTGTGTGTGTGTGCTGCTTGGTGTGGTCTGTGTGGGGGTGCGTGGTGTGTGCGTGGTGTGTGTGTGGTGTGTGGTGTGCGTGGTGTGTGTGGTGCGTGTGTGTCGTGTGTGGCGCTCGGTGTGTGGTGTGTGTGGGGGTGCATGGTGTGTGGTGTGTGTGTAGGGTGTGTGGTGTGCGTGGTGTGTGTGCGTGGTGCGTGTGTGTCGTATGTGGTGCTCGGTGTGTGGTGTGTGGGGGTGTGGTGTGTGGTATGTGTGTGGGGTGCGTGGTGTGTGGTGCGTAGTGTGCGTGTGGTGTGTGTAGGGTGTGTGTGGTGTGTGTGTGGGGTGCGTGGTGTGTGCGTGTGGTGTGTGTGATGTGTGCAAGGTGTGAGTGGAGCCGGTGGGTGTGGTGTGGTGTGGTGTGGGTGGGTGGGGTGGTGTGGGAGGGGATTTTGAACAGTTTTAATTCTTTTATTTCTAGTTTGTCATGCAGCCCAGGTTGGCCTCCACACTCACCGCATAGTGGGCATAACCTAGGACTCCTGACCCTCCTGCCTCCAGCGATAGCCTTGGGCTAAGATCGTCCTGCCCCCACCCCAATGCTGAGTCTCCCGGTGTCTGTCCCCAGCCCTGGTTCATGGACTGTGCTTTTTGAAGTTTCAGATTTGTGGGAAAATTGTGTTCCCAAAATGCTTGCTTCCCTTCTACAGGCCCGCTGTGTGCATCTGTGTGGACTGTCATGGTCTGTGAGTCCAGGATGACCACGCCAGGTTCATAGGCTACACTTGGGTCCTTCTGGGTGTTTGGGGTAATGATGCACATCTGTCACAGCTGTGGCATCACACGCAGGGTTAGTTTTTTTTAATTTTTAAAATAATTTGTTGTGTATATGAGTCTCAGTGGTGGGGTGGTCAGGACAGCCTTCTGGAGGCCTGGCCGTGCACATTTTGAAGCAGGATCTCTTGATTGTGCTACACTGCATATCGAGGCCAGCTGGTTCACCAACCTGTGGGCAATTCCACCTCCATCTCTCATGGGAGTGCTGGGATTACAGATGCCTGCCGCTAAGCCAGGTTTGGAGGATTGACCTTGGGGCACTAGGCTTGAGGGGCATTTGCTGAGCCATCTTGATAGGCCCATTATTTTTTTCAAGTTACTTTTTAAAAAAAAAATTTGTTATTTTATGTGTATGCATGTATTGCCTGCATATAGGTAAGTGTACCCGTGTCATGCAATGCCCGCAGAGGTCAGAAGAGGCTGTCATATCCCCTGGAACTGGAGTTATGGACAGTTGTTAGCTGCCATGTTGGTGCTGGGAGTCGAACCTGGGTCTTCTGCAAGAATAACCAGTGTTCTTTTATTAAAAAAAATATTTATGTGTATGAGTGTATTGCCTGCATGTATGTGAGTGCACCTGTGTTGTGCAATGCCGTGGAGGTCAGAAGACAGCTTCGGATTCCCCTGGAACTGGAGTTAAGGATGGTTTGTAGCTGCCATGTGGGTGCTGGGACTCGAACCCGGGTCCTCTACAAGAGCAATCAGTGCTCTTAACCGCTGAGCCATCTCTCCAGCCCCTGAAGTTACTCTTTTTAGGTTGCTGGGCTGGTACCTATAGCTTCAGTCCTTTGTAGAGTCAAGTCCAGCCTTTTGATCTTTGGTAATTTCTTAGGGGTCCACAGGGAAAGGAACCCCTTTGCAGCAGAGAGGGGCTACTTTGTTTATATTCTTGCACCCTTTATTTCCTTGAATGACTCTGGTCAGTAATCTTGAGCCTAGTCTCTACTTAATGTTGTGCTAGACTTCACGCAACTGGTGAGATGTAATGTTTTAATTAACTCATTTTGATAGTGGAATTAAATATTTTAAATACTAAAAAATAAATATTGACCTTGTTAGAAACTAAAAGTATAGACTCAATTGACATTTTAGTTGCTAAAGACCAGTTTTTAAAATCTTCAGTTCTGGGGCTGGAGAGATGATGGCTCAGCTGTTAAGAACACTGGCTGTTCTTGCGGAAGACCCGGGTTTGAATCCAAGCATCCACATGGCAGCTAACAATTGTCTGTAACTCCAGTTCTAGGGGATCCCACAGCTTCTTCTGTCCTCCTTGGGCATCGCAGAACACGGGTACACTTACGTACTTGCAAGCAATACACGCATACACATTAAAACAAAAAAAATCCCCTGTTCTTGGGACTGGAGAGAGGCTCAGCAGTTAAGAGCACTGACTGCTCTTTCGGAGGACCTAGGTTGGGTTTCCCACACCCACATGGCGGCTAACAACTGCCCATAACTCCAGTTCCAGGGAATCCAATGTGCTCCTCTGGCTTCTGTGGGTTTGCACAAATGTGATGCACTTATATGCACACAAGTGAAATGCTAATACACATAAAAATAAATTTGAAAAATGTCTTCAGTTCTTCATGGACTGAGACTCATCAAATCAATGAATAGGAATTTGCAGAGCAATGAGATGAAGGAAGGAAAGTGCCCAGGTTACATTTCTGTTTTCTGAGACTTTCATACACGCATACAGTGTGTTTCATCACATTCATCCCCACTGTTCTCCCTAACTCCTTCAGACTTCTTGTCCTCTTTTTATTTATTACTTGTTTTCCTTTTTGAGACAGGGTCTCCCTGTAGCCCCAGCTGTCCTGGAACTCATGTAGACCAGGCTGGCCTTGAACTCACAGAGATCTGCCTGCCTCTGCCTCCCGGGTGCTGGGATTAAAGCTGTGCGCCGCCACGCCCGGCTTTTCTTTTTTATTTTTTACAGTCTACTGATTCCAGTTTGCCTTGCCCAAACACTCTTGGATGTGGGACCATCCACTGGAGTGTGGTTGTCCTTCTGGGGCCACACCCTTAATGAAAGCAGATTCACCCTTCCCCAGAAGTCATCTTTCAGTAGATCCTTAGCTAGTGGTGGGGCTCATGGGCTCCCCGCTTCATGCTGTAATGTGGACTGGCTTGATCTTTTGAAAGTCTTGTGCAGGTAAGCACAGCCACTGTAAGTTCATGAATGCAGTGGTTCTGTCATGTCCAGAAGACTCTGGTCCTCTGGACTTCTGGCCCTTACTATCTTTGTGGGCTCTGTTCTGAGATGGCTGCCCGAGCCTTGGTGGAGGAGTGTGACCTAGATGTCCCCCGTGTGGCTGGCACCCTGCAGGCACTTACTCGCCTTTTCTGCCCAGCTGTGAGTTTCTGTGTTAATCACTTTCCACTTTACAGACTTTTCTGATGAAGTCTGAGAGCTGAAGTGCCTCATTTAGAAATGATTACATTCAACATGTGTGAAACTACTTAAGGTGCTGTAAATGTTAACTCCATTTACTGAGTGTTTACTGGGTTACCAGCAAACAGTGCCTGCCTGGCCAGTGCTAGTGGGGATGCCATTTGTCCGAAGTGTCTTTCTGTACTCTAAACATACATGTAGCCAGTGCCAGAGTTCCTGGTATGGAGAAGACAGCCAGTTAAATGCAGCTATATTATTTAATTCCTAAATCCACCCTTTGAGGTCATTGGACTTAACAATTAATCATCTGTGATGATTGTTTAGAGGAAGAAATAGGTTTGGTTAGTAAAGCAACATGCCCAATTTCCTATGGTGGTAAGCAGTCCTTGATAGCTAGCATGACTCTCTAAAAAAGTCTGCTGGAACTTGTGAATTGATGTTACATGAAGGAAGGGGTTTTGTAGATGAAATTAAGGTTAGATTATTTTTTGTTTTTGTGGTTTTTTTGGTAAAGATTTATTTTTTTGGCCAGGCGTGGCACACGCCTTTAATCCCAGCACTCAGGAGGCAGAGGTAGGCAGATCCCTGTGAGTTCAAGGCCAGCCTGGTCTGCATAGTGTGTTCCAGGACAGCTGGGGCTACAAGGAGACCCTGTCTCAAAAAGACCAAAAAAAAAAAAGATTTATTTTTTAAAATTATGTGTACTTGTGTCTGTGTGGGAGTATGTGCACGTGACTGCTGGTACCCAATGAGGCCAGAATAGGGCATCAGATCCCCTGGAGCTGGAGTTGTAAGCTGCTGGGTGTGGGTGCTGGGGCTGAACTCCAGTTCTTCAGAAGCGCAGTACGTGCTTTTAACTGCTGAGCTCTCTCCAACCCCAATATTTGATTCTTAAGCCATTTCTTTATATTTGTGTGTGTGCACGTGCAAGCATATGCGTGTGCATGAGTACACCAAGCATGTGGAGGCCAGAAGACAGCCTCCAGGTCTTCTGGGGATTGAACTTAGGTCCACAGGTTTGATGGCAAGCTTCTTTACCTACTGAGCCATCTTGCTGGTCCAGATTTTTTTGAGATGGTCTCAAATGGCTTCCTAGTCATTGTGTAGTGGAGGAGGACCTTAGATTTATGATTCTTCTGTCTCTGCCCCCCAAGTGTTGGGCTCACAGGTGTGTTCCCAGCTTGCACAGCTGTGACATGGTATTACTTCTGGCTATAACAGAAGTATTGATGTGGGATTGAAGGGTAGCCAAGGGTAGAAACAAAGATGAGGGAGGCCTCTGTTGCTCTTCTGTGATGGCTAATTTGCAGATCACCATAGCAGGGTCACAGTGTACAAAAACAGGGTCAAACTTTTCTCTGGACCTTTTTGAGAAGGGTGGATTGGATGAGATTAACATTTGAATTGGTGGAAATGAGTAATGGAAGTTACTGTCGCTGATGTCAGTGGGCCTCATCCAATCAGTTGAAGGCCTGGCACAGCTAAGACTGGCCTCTCTTGAGTAAGAACGTCTGTAAGACCTTCAGACTCTGATGGCCTTTGGACTTGGACTTTGGCTTTTTCCTGGGTCTCCAGCCTGCCTGCCTACCTTGTAGATACTTAATTTGCTTTTCTGCAATTGTGTGAGTCAATTCTTTAAGACAGACCTTTGTGTATACCCATCCTTTTGGTTGTTTCTCTGAAGAACTACAGACACAGTGTCCCGGCAGAGGAGAGCCTGGTAGCCTAGACCAGGCGGGGGAGGGAGACTAGCAGTGCTTGAACTTCTTTTTGAGACAACCCCTTGGGTATATTCTTTTGTTGTTACTGTTTGTTTTTTGAGACAGGGTCTCCCTGTGGCCCTCTGCAACTCACTGTGTAGACCAGGCTGGCCTTGATTTCAGAGATTGCCTGCCTCGGCCTCCAAGTGCTGGGATTAAAGGCATGTGCTACCATACCTGGCATCTTGGGTATATTCTTAAGATTGAGGCACTGGGGACTGGAAAGATGGCTCAGTAGTTAAGAGCACTGAGTGCTTTTAGAGAGGACCTGGGTTCAGTTCCTAGCACCTACATGGCAGCTAAAGACTATAACTCTAGTTCCTAAGGATCAGATGCTTTTTTCTGGCCTCCTTGGGTACCAGGCATGCATGTGGTGCACATACATACATGCAAACAGAACACTCAAACACATAAAAATAAGTCTTTTAAAAAAGATAGATGTGTGGCTGGAGAGATGGCTCAGTGGTCAAGAGCACTGGCTGTTCTCTCAGAGGACCTGGGTTCGATTCCTAGCACCCATGTGGCAGCTGATATCTGTCTGTAACTCCAGTTTTGGGGAAATCGATGCCTTTTTATGACCTTTGTGGGCATTGCATGACACAAGTGCACTTACATGGAGACAATACGCTCGTACACAAAAAATTAAAAAGACATAAAGGCACTGACTTTGTAGCTGAATCAAATACAAGATTGAGTGAGTAGGTGGTTATGGTCATACAAGCTTCTGGCTGAGTCCACTGGAAGGTGTGTGTCCTAGTTTATTTCTCCACTGCCTTGACAAAATACTCTGACCATTACCAACTCAGGGAGGAAAGGGTTTATTTTATCTTACATCTCCTGGGTCACAGTTCATCATGGAGCCCAAGGTAAGAACTTAGGGCAGGAACCTGGAGGCAGGAGCTGGAGCACAGGCCATGGAGGAATGCTGCGTACTGGCTTGTTCCCCTGGCCCTTCCTCAGCCTGCTTTCTTGTGCACCACAGGCCCACCTGCCCAGGGGTGGAACCACCTGCGGTGGGCTGGGCCCTCCCACATCACTCAAATTAAGAAGATGCCCCAAAGACATGGCCACAGGCCAGTTCAATGGAGGCAGTTAATTCCCCAATTGAGGCTCCTTCAACCCAGGTGTGTGAAGTTGACACTAAAGCTGTCCAGCACAGTGTGACAGAGGTAGTCACAGTCACACAGAAGCTTCTGGTTGAGCCCACAGAAAGGTGTCGTGTAGGTGATTATGGGTCACAGAGAGGCTTCAGGCCCCATTCACTCCTCCTTGTTCCCATGACCATGACTGGTTTCCCTGAGTGATGTGTATGAGGGTGTGTAGGTATGTAGTCATGCAATCTAGTAAGAATGAGAATGATCCTGGCACACCATGGTGCATTTCCAGAAGACTGTGGCTCACTATTCACACATTGCCATCCTGGAGGAAACCATGCCTCTCACTTGGATTCCATTTCGGTCTCCTCACTTCCCATGATTTTCTACCCTAGCACCTAGAAGAATGTCTGGCATGAAGCCAATGCTCAGTTACTATTAACAGAATGAGCAAATTCTTGAGTCAACTCTGAACGCCCTGGTTGAATACAGGAGTGACTTTCTGTGGGTAGATGGCTGTTGGACACAATTTGATGTCTGAACTGGTTTGCTGAGCTGCCCAGCACCTGCCTGGTGTGTGCTTTGCTTCTGCTGTCTGGCCACACTGGCGTTTCTGTGTTGTGCAGAGTCCGCCCCACTTCCACCTTGCAGCTGCCACCTGCTTTGCTGTGTGGCTTCCTCTGCCTTCTCTCCCTGTCTTTTCCCTGGTGCCAGGCTCCTGCTCTCAGGGCTCTGTTCAGACATCTCCTTAAAGATGTTCCTGTGACCTCCATGGCTGAGTGGTTCTTCCTCTGCCCCCTTTCCTACTTCTCTGGTCTGTTACGTTTTTCCTCCTTCAAGCACTGCACATTGAAGCTTTTATTTGTGCTAGCCAAAGACCAGCGTTGTGTTGTCAGTAACTTTGCACTTGTGTGTGATTCTGGCTTTGGGCTTACCCTATCCCCTGGGAAGCAGAATGATTTCTGAGGTGGTGACTTGTGGATAGGTAGTGCTGTGGTTTACTGACAGAAACTGCCAGTTGAGGAAGGGCTGTCTGTGCTCTTGGGTATGTGTTAGATGCTCTTTAGTGATGGATATATTGACTGTTGAATATATTGACTCTTGAATTTTTTTGTATATGTGTGTGCTCGTGTATAGAGGTCAGAGGATCAAAACATTTTGTGTGTATGAGTGTATTGCCTGCATGTATATAAGTGCACCTGTGTTGTGCAATGCCGTGGAAGTCAGAAGAGTGTTGGATTCCCTGAAACTGGAGTTATGGATGATTGGTTGTTAGTAGCCTTGTAGGTCCTGTGAAACAAACCTGGGTCCTCTGCAAGAGCAGCCAGTACACTTAACCGTCAAGCCACCTCTCCAGCCCACAGCAAGGGCGCTTAACCACTGAGCCATCTCTGCAGCCCCTCAGCTGTCATTCTTGATGTGTTTTCGTCTTTTTTTTTTTTTTAAACATTTATTGTGTATATGTATGTATGTGGATGCATGCATGCCACAGTGTATGTGTGGAGGTTGGTTCTTTCTTTCCATCATGTGGGTTCCGGGGATTGAACTCAAGTAGTCAGGCTTGGTGGCAAAGTGCCTCTGCCAGCTGAGCCATCTCATCTGCCCTACTGCTTTTTGTTTGTTTAAAATATTATTTATTAATTTTATGTGTACGAGTGTTTTGTCTACATGTATGTGAGTGCACCCATGTGCAACACCCTCAGAAGAGGGCATCGGATCCTCTGGAACTGGAGCTGTGGACAGTTGTTAGCTGCCATGTGGGTGCTCGGAATTGAACCTGGGTCCTCTGCAAGAGCAGCCAGTGGGCTTAACCACTGAGCCATCTCTCTAGCCCCAGTCTCTTGAATTTTATTCTTTCAGGAAGCAGATCTCTTGTGACTTTGGTTTTGAGCATGTTGATTTTATGTTGTCTGTGAGCATCCAAGAGGATGTGTCAGGTAGGCACCTGGCATTTGCATTTAGAATGCAGACGGGAGCTTGAGGTGATTCCCAGCACTGCCAGTGACTTTGCACTTGGGAAATCACTGAACTTGTGTGAGGCCTTCTGGCTCCTTTGCCAAGTGAGAGTAAAGAGAAGTCCTACATAGGCCGGGCATGGAGAGTTACTTTAACGCTACTGGACGGGCCGCTTCGTGATCTTAACTTTTGAGAGCCTGTTGTGTCAATACTATGCAGCTGTTTTTTCTTGGGTTCATTTATTTTCACTATTTCTGGCAAAAAAATTTTAGCTAGTGTGCCTGTAGAGTTATAAAATGTCCTGAAGCCCCAGTGATCCTAACCCTAACCCCTTATTTTTTTCAACTGTAAGTCCTTTGCCAACTTTAAGTACCATAAACAGCTCCATGTATAAAAACCGGGATCCGTTAGCCTTGATTAGAAATGGGTGTCGGGATAAAGGCACTGCTTTGTTCTTAAACTGGTAATTTCCTCTCACTGTCCCCTACTAAGAATGAGTCACAGATGGATGCTGACTTGGTTTCAGTGTTACACCGTAAAGATAGGTTCACATTAATTATTTATTTATACATAATCCCTTTTAGAATAAAAGTTAAGGTTAATTAAGTTTCACAAGGAATATGTCAAACTTCATATTAAATTTCCTTAGTTCTGTGAGATGTGTTTGAGGTATAAGAAAATACTTCAAATAACTTTTCAAAATATTTAGGTAGCATTTTAGTTAAAAGCCTACTTTTCACTGCAAATATTGACTATTTAGTGGCTAAAAAAACCATGTTTTTTAAAACAGGTTAGCACAGGATTTTAAATTCTGACCGTGTAACACAGTAACTTGAAGAGGTCACATCACTGTGCCTTAGTCTCAGTCTAAGAGTTCTGGTTGTTAGGCGGCCATGAAAACTCCCTCTTAACTTGATGGATGGTAGTATGGGAGGTTCCATACTCTGTGTGAGCAGCATGGAAACCTGTTCTTGGTGCTTCTGTCTACGTAACTTGAAATGGTGGGTATTTCATCTTTGCCTGGCCTTGCAGACGAGCTTTCACCTGGGAGTGCAGTAAGAGGGGGACAGCTGGAGTCCTGCAGGCTAGCATGCTGACTCCCTCTGTCAGGGCTGCTCAGGAAGTCTTTCAGAACTTGCTTGAAGATGTAGACTATTTCCCATGGCAGTACATCATTTTCCGCTAGAAGTTCTCGGAATCTGGAGGGATTGTGGGGATAAATATTCAGAAGCTTTTTTGTTGTATTTCTTTACCTTCCAAATACAGTTCTATAATTGTGTACCAGTTACTTAGCTTTTGAATAGTCAGAAAGGCTTTATAATTATGCTTCCAGTAAAGAAAATTTTACTATAATTGCAGAACTTTTCTACTGGTAAGCTATCTAGAGATTTTATCAGCTAGACATTTGGTGCACAAGCTTAAACAATTTACACAACAGAGTACAGTTCTTAGTCTAAAGGAGAAGCTTATTGAGTATTGCACACATCATAAGAAGACAGCTCTTTTACCTGCTGAGGATAGTTCCAGTTTGGCAAGGCTGCACTTGGGAGCAAAGAACTTCAAGTTGCCTTTGTTCAGTAGCTGAGATGGTTGTGTGGGAATTCTGGCCGCTTCTCAGCCAGTTGTAATCGACGCCAGTCTTTTTCACTTTCTGTTCATTTTCAATCTCTTGTATTAATCTCTCCCGTTCCTTTAGATGCCATTTTAATTCTCGAAGCAGAGTCTTTGTCACTGCGTCTGAGCCAGCATAGTGTGTATGTTTGTAGGAATCATTTTTTGGCCATTTCATCCATCCAAAAAATGGCATTTTTTAACCTGTGGAAATACTCTCATGTTTACTTGTATACAATTTTTATGGTTCTGATAAGTGAATTTTTTCTCTATAACAGTGCCAGAAAAGTACATGAATTTTTCACTGGTTAGACTTGCTGGTCAAAGTAAGATTAGAACATGGATTAAAGTCTTTTGATTTCTAACTAGGTCAGTGCTAAAACCTAGCTTTGAAATATTTTGGTACAGCTAAGCAGAAATTAGATAAAGTCAAAGATAAGGTACAGACTGAACAAATTCTGGAAAACACTTGATATTAAAAGTTCTTAGGGGCTTAAAATATTAAGGTCTTAAAGTGCTGTCTACAGGCATACTTTTGATTTATTCTTTGTACAGAAAGCTTAAAACTTACCTGCAGAGTTGGTGGATCTGATGTGGGGAAGTTGCCAGAGAGTTTGCTTGAACTGGTAATGGAGCTGTGTTTCACTCAGGCGGGTCTGGTTCTGCTGGAGGTGTCCTCTGCTGAAGGACCGTATCTCCTGATTTACCCACTGAAACTGTGTTTGAAATAAACAACTTTCTGTGTTAGGAATGAGGCTGTGATGTCTTCATTTGGAGAGAATGAATTAATTCACCTTGGAAGAAAGCTTGAAGAAATGTCAGAAATAACTTACTATTTAATCTTCACAAATTATATAATTGTCTCCCTTTTGAATGTAGCTTACTGTGTTTGAGAAGGATGCCAGCAGCTATGGATGCTGGCCCCAAGCACACTCTGAAATGTCTGAACTGAACAGCAATGATCAGAGGCGCTCCGGATGCACTCCAGCTGCAGTGAGGGTGCCGCAGGATGTGCTGCTTCGCTGTGCGTAGCTGTAGGTCACAGTTTGTGCTGTATTTTTATGCCTGTCGAGCTCTAAAAATAACCATGTTGCTTTTATTCTTCAGCTTAACTTTCAGGCCATTTGGAAGCCATGTCACTGTCCCTTCTAATGAAAACAGGAAAAATAGATCAAACTTGACTATCTGCACAATACACACCCTGGGAAAGCTTGTAATTGAGTAAAATAGGCAAAGCACGCTGCCATCTGTCCTGTGTGAGACATTTAGTAACTGGTCCATTCTACGTTCATTTATTCCTTGTAAAATGGTAAATCTGCATATTGAAACAAGTTGAAGTGCTAGAGGGCATATGACTACGTAGATAACTTTATTGTATATTTGATTATCTCTTTTGTACATGGCGATAAGGCAATGGTGGCTTATTGGGAAAACAGAGATGGGAGAATTAAAATGTTCAAAACAAAATCGTATACACTGCAACATTGCTCAGTTGGTAGAGTCCTTGCCTAGCATGTGTGATGCATGAAACAGAGTGGTGGTGATACATGCTTGTAGTCGAAGTACTTGGGAGGTGGAGGAAGGAGGATCAGCAGTTCAAGGTCATCGTCAGCTATATATCAAGTTCAGGACCAGCCTGGGATTCATGAGACTCTGTCTCAAAAGAAATTGTACAATTCATTATGGAAAATGTCAGCATTTTGTTTCAGAGCTACAGAAAAAACATGCCACGGCTTAGGTGAGTGCTGGTGGGCTTTGCCATGTTCATTTTCTGGTGGGTAGGGTGCAAAAGGTCTTTTCCTCTTGATTATCTGTTAAGTGGCTGCATTGTGTCTTTTCCTTTTACAATCTTTGTTTCTTCTGTTGCTTTTCTTCCCAACGAGACAAGAAGAATAGACATCAGATCCAGTGCTGTGCATGATAAAGAGTGTGTGTGATCCTGCTGCAGTTCCTGTTAATGTCTAGAAAAGGCAGACGTCAGGATTTGTTACCCTCAACTCCATGGCTTTCACATCACATTGATGTAGTAGTGGGAGAAGGAGAGGAATGAACTTACTGTGACAGAAATGTCCTAGCAAATTTGAGGAAACTAAAATTGCACCAAACTGTAACTTTTCCCTTTGAATAACCTTTTGCTGTATAAAAAATTACTTCCTCTGAAATGGTAATGAAAATATCAGTGTATGTTGGAAGTGGAACCAAATCCGGTTTCTGCCCAGGTCCTCTTCAGTCTGGATTACTGCCCCTCTCACCAGCTTCCCTTGGCCCTCCTCCCCAGCGCCAGGCCTCCCTGCCCCACACTTGCTGTAGTCTTTTCTGGCTGTTCTGCTTTAATTGCACAGACTCCTCAAATGCTTGTTCTAGTTGGGCTTGGTGACGCACACCTTTAATCCCAGCACTTGGGAGGCAGAGGCAGGTGGATCTCTCTGAAGTCACAGCCAGCTGGAGAGTTCCAGGCCAGCTGTGGCTACAGGGAGACCTTGTCTCAAAATGATCAAAGGGAAAAAACTTACTTTGTTTCTTTTCCACGTAGCTACATTCTAATTTTTTTCAAGGATCCGGTCAAGTGACAACTCTTTTATTTTTTTCTTCATCAACAGTTTTCCTTTAGTCCTCTTCCTTTGAGCTCTGTTGAAGTCTGCCCTCCCCTCGTTTCTGAATGCTTTCTGCGATTCTGTTTTGCCTTCTGTATTTGCTGGTGTGCAGTTGCTCAGCAGATCTTTATGAAGGATCAGGGCTGCCGATGTTGCAGTGCATAGACAGGTGTTGGTCTTCCGTGGGTGGGGGGACCTGTGTAAGAGTAGTAAGATAATCACAGGTATCTGTTATTTAGCATTCTTGCAATGTTTTCCTAATTAGATCTGGGGTCAGGGAAGGACTTTCTGGGTGGGGTGATGCCTTTGAACAGTGATTTGTTGATTCTTGAGACAAGGTTTCCCTGGAGCCCCAGCCGACCTGGAACTGCCTTTGTAGACCAGGCTGGCTTCCATCTCAGACAGATCCACCTGCTTCTGCCTCCAGAGTGCTGGATAAAAGACGTGTGCCACCATACCCCACCCAGGTTGTGGGTTTGTTTTTTTTTTTTTTAACCAGAGTACCAGATTAAAGTTAGATTTTATTTACCAAATATGTTAGTATGTTCAGTAGATAGATCACTTCTTTTTTTTTTTTTTAAAATGTGTATAGGTGTATTGCCTGCATGTATGTGAGTGTACCTGTGTCGTGCAATGCTGCAGAGGTAAGAAGAGGGCTTCTGATTTCCCTGGAACTGGAGTTAAGGATGGTTCATAGCCTCCATGTGGGTGCTGGGTCCTCTGCAAGAGCAGTCAGTGCTCTTAACCGCTGAGCCATCTCTCTAGCTCTGATAGATCACTTCTAATGCGTCACAACCTTAATGGTGATCTTGTGTGGATGATGTAAAGCTTATACTGTTCAACATCTGGGCCATCTCTCATCTGCTGGCTGTCTTGGTTTTCTAGGCTACACCTGATTAGATAGCTTAAAATGTAAAAGACTTGACATGAGATAGTGCCACAGCACTCAATGCACGTCTGCAATCTAAGTGGGAGAGTTCATCAGAAGGTGAGTCTTGAAAGACAGAAAGCAGGAGCCAGGGGCACCTTTGCAGGCTTGACTAGCAAACACCGTCAGACAGTTTTCAACAGCATAGGTTGCAATTACAGATTTTTCCTTGTGTGGCAATTAATCTTTTTAATTCTTTTGCTGTGGACTTAAAAATTCAGGGTTAAGGGTTCATTTATTAAAGTTAAAAATCACAATTTTTTTTTTTTCGGTCTTTTTGAGACAGGGTCTCCCTATAGTCCCAGCTGACCTGAACTCACTATGTAGACCAAGCTGGCCTTGAACTCATAACGGTCATGCCCGGCTTTAAAAATCTATTTCTGTGGGCTTGTTTAAATATGAAAATACATTGCCAGGTATGGTGGTGCATACTTTTAATCCCAGCACTTGGGAGGAAGAGGCAGGGGAATCTCTGAGATAAAGGCCAACCTGGTCTCCCTAGTGAGCTCCAGGACAGCTATGGCTACAAGATGACCCTGTCTCAAAAAGATAAAAAAAAAAAAAACAAAAACTCAACAAATTACAAGTAGGGGGTAAATGATCAGCATAAATGCTCCATGAGAAGTCCTCAAGTGGAGACAGGCTGAAAACTTCTCGCTGAAATAATGAACACCACTTCTGTTAGGTGTGGTAATGGAAGTTCTACCCAGAGCAATTAGGGAAGAAAGTTGTCAGTGTCAACATGGAGTCACTGTGTTAAGAGTCAGAGATCATAAAGGGAGGCCCTCATGTGCACACCCATGGCAAGAACAGCGGCGAAGATTTTATAAGGGGCTCCTACCCGCATACAACTGTAACAAGAACTCTGCTAGGGTCTTTCCAAACTTTAGTTGCTGTGTGGGTCCAAAGAATTCAAATGTACAGAGACACTTGCCTCATATTGCCTCTCATGGACCGAGTCAGCAGTGTGATGTCTCTGTCTCAAAACAGTGGACACGTACTCCTCATTTACCTTGCAAAACTGGGTCTTGGCCTGGGAATGTAGGTGGGTGGTAGAACTCTTGCTTTGCTGTCTTAGACCTTGAGTTCATTATCCAGTACTGCAGTAAATAACAGCAGTAACAACACAAAACCAGGATGCAGTCTTGTCTGCATCTCCCTGAGCATGCCAGTATTTTACCGTGATGTGGGCATTGCACATTTGTGGGCACTTTTCTCATTCCCAGTTGAAATGCTCATCATTGAAGTGTCCTATATTTTCAGTTAGGCAAAGTAAGGGCCGTCCACAGTAGATGGTGAGAAGTGAAAACACCTGTTTGCAGGTGATACACCCTTGTGTGGACAATGCTGATGAATCTACAAACCTGTTAGTAAGAGTTGAGCAGAGTAGCCAGACGTGAAGACAGCTGCATTTCTTTAAACAGCCTGCAAAGAAAACTACAAAAACATTCCATTTGTAACAGCACCCAAAAGAATAAAATAATTAGGAATGACCCAGAGAAATGGAAGACTTGTTCAGTGGAAAGTATGAACATTGCTTAAGAATGAGCAGAAATGGGCTGGGGAGGACAGCTCAGGTGATGAAGTGCTCGCCTTGCAAGCTTGAGAACTCGGGTTCTATTCCCAGAGCACATGAAAGGCTGGGCATGGTGGTGTGTGCGTGTAATCCCAGGG